ACCACCCGATCCCGTTAGTCGCCTCTTACGACAAGCACGGGTTACTGAAGATCAATATTCTTAACCGGGTCTTCACGGGTCTTGAGAACAAGTACAAGGCACATTCCTCTTGATACATATTGAAATAACGTAAGTTTTATTGCCACACTAAAACGGCACAGGGGATTTCGAAGCTGCATCAAATCAACTTGTTTGCTTTTCGTTTATCTTACTGTTTGACTGCCCTTGTTAATAACATTGATTAGGGACAGGCAAATGCTGCTCAGTCGTATTTCAAATATATCTCGGCTTGTCAGCTTAATGTGTGTGTGGGTGGGTGGGTGGGGGTGGGGGTGGGGGTGAGATCCAGCAGTATGATCGCAGGGAGGTGCTGGAAAATCAAGGACAATTTTATTGGTTTCGAACCTAAGACTGAATCGCAATACGCACATAAAGTTGAATCTTTGAACTATGGGGAACATTTGAGATTCTAATAAAACCGACCGACAAAACCTGCAATCGACCTTCACGACAACACAATATTGTGTGAAGCGACACAAATGGTGTGTTAACAGTGTGATGAAGGAATTCCAGACTTAATCATCTGAAATGGTAACTTACCAAATTCTTGCCCTTTGTTAAGTGTCTTTCCATTTAACTGACATTATGGTTTTGAACAACATTTTGTGTGAACAACATTTTGATAACATCTCAGTTTTCGTTTAAAAACGAAGTGGTCCGGTGGGTAACCTTGTGGGTTAAAGCGTTCGATCGTCACGGCGAAGACCCGGGTTCGATCCCCAACAAGGATACAATATGTAAAGCCCAAATCTGGTCTCCCCCACCGCGATGTTGTTAGAACTTTGCTAAAACTGGCATAAAACTTCACTCACTCACTCACTCATACCGAAGATAAAGCCCAAAGCATAAGTATTGTGCTGCCAGACTCCAAAGTTTCACTGTACTTGGCAATATCATATTCGCAATCAATAGACATGATTATCCTATTTCTACAACGACGCCTGCAACCAACACCATAGTGACAGTGAACTATATTTTGATACTGCAATGTAGACGTTTGCTGTTCTGAGAGTTATACGCCAAAGGCAACTTAATGCTAATTACAGGAAGGACAACAAAGAGACCAAAAGATGGGAGTACAATTGAAGGACGGCTACTAGCTAATAGAATGACTTAGCTGAAATATATTCAAAGTAGCAGTAAATCTATAGAAATGGGTTTGTGGGTGGTTGGATCGTCATCGAGCTAGTGGTATATCTTGCCAGAAGGTGCCGTTTCCGCTTGGCTAAGCAGTTGAGTCCTGGCCAGGGCGGTGCCATTAATGGACATTAAGTTTTAGCTTCAAAGTAAGAAGGTTTTACACTACCAGGCACAACAACTGATTTATAGTTTATAAACGTTGAATGAATCTATTAGTCGAATCGATACAGCTGTGCGTGTTTTGTCACGTGTTGTTTCTTCGGTCACGTTTCATCGCGTGACACGTTTTGGGAAATTACATAAGGAAATCGACATACTTTTTGAGGAAACGCCCCTGTAGCTTACTTCTGTATATTAAAAGAAAAAAATTGAAAAGATATTTTGATGTGCCTACAGATTTTAAATTGATGTTATCTACATACTAAAATTGAAGTTGGATACTTTGTATGTGTTCTTTGGGTGCATAATGTACAGATTCAATTGGAAGAGGTATGTTTTCATTATCATAAAGCCTTTTGATGAAACTTGAAGCGAATTATTAATCACAATGTCATGCATATACATCTATAATAGGGGCGGTTGGTTAGCCTAAAAATAATGAGAATATTTATAACGCTCCTTTTCCAGGCTAGATATCCTGCTCAAAGCGCCCAATCTTATCATTATTTTCCCGGGTAACCAAGCTGTCTGTGAGGCGCTTGAAGGTTAAGAGTCTCACTACTTATCCCACCGGGTACCCATTTCCTGCTGGGCGAACAGAGGCACTTTTTAACAAACTCACTCGCCTAAGGTGAAACCACATGTGCTTCATAGTTGGGCAGGACTGGCATCCTCGAAACTCTCAGGAGTCGAGCTGCCAAACACGGTCATCCACCCAAGGATTGTCCGTGACCAAAGTTGCTTAACCTCAACTGATTTGTGACCTGAACTATATGCACAGGAACACACACCTCCGATAGCCTAGTGGTTAAAGCATTCGCTCGTCACGCCGAAGACCCGGGTTCGATTCCCCACATGAGTACAATGTGTGAAGCCCATGTCTGGTGCCCCGATATTGCTGGAATATTGCTAAATGCGGCGTAAATTCATACTCACTCACTACATCCATAATGTTTAGAATATAATCTACAAATGGAACGACAAAATGAACACACACAAAATCGAACATACAGATAATCGTATATACCTGATATCATTATCTCCGGTTGCTGATTATGATATGTATGTTAGGTAATGTTGTGAATTGCAAACGTACTTGCTCAAGACTCAAGACTCGATTTGTTTTAAAACAACACCATACAGCTGTAACCCTGATGAAACAAATATGTTGTCATGATATAGTCACAAGTGAACAATCGACTCTGCTTTAAGCAGAGATTTCTTATGAATGTTGAAAGGGTTTTGTCGCTTCTGTTTACAACCACTTATGGTAGAAGCACAGTCGAAAACCGTTGTGTCGAATTTGAACAGGCCTACTCAAATACTTAGATACCCGAGTTTCGACAGAACCCTAAAATGATGATACAAAATATAAATGCGGGACCAAACTTTACTTCCAGACAACCAAACGTTCGACACAGTCATCACAGTTCGACACAACGGTGTTTTGACTGCAATAAACAGCAGGAAGAAAACAGATGTGCTATAGCCCCCGTTGATCCAAGTAAGGGACTTCATATTGGGTTCCTTCCGGTCAATAGAATGTTTTTAATTGAATAAAATATATCAGGGAATATATACAATATATACCTAGTGGTGGGTTCAGAACTGTCAGAAATAAGTGCTGGTGTAAAGATTAGTTTTAGCAGGGATAATCTACAACATATATAGTCTCCCTGGTTTTAGCGAGATTTGAAAGTTGTCAGAGGATCAGAAAGTTGACAGGCAGAGAATTCCAGACCCGTCAAGATCCCGGTTACAACTGGTCTTCTGCAACTTGAAATTTAATGTTGAAGAAAAACAATTCTAACATGCAGCTAATTATCTCAATCGGTAAATTTACACCTGACAGTTTATTATCATGCAAACTACAAATTACAAAACTGAGACCCGTGAAGACCCGGGTTAGAATTGATCTTCAGTAACCCAAGCATGTCGTAAGAGGCGACTAACGGGATCGGGTGGTCAGTCTCGCTGACTTGGTGATCGTATCCCAATTGCGTAGATCGATGCTGTTGATCACTGGATTGAGCTGGAATATTGCTGAGTGTGGCGTTAAACAACAAGGAAACAAAAGCAAAAAGAGACTTGTGCATGTCGAAATAATCGCTTGTGTAATGAAGCTAAGCGGATATTGGAGGCTGTTAACAAAAGTTGGATGTGGGATCGAGGAGGTATTTTCTTTAATGAGATCAGTAAAGCAGGCGCAAGATTGTGTAGACGCTAGTAGACAAGGCAGAGTCGCCAATATGACGCCGGTGGAGGCTAATGTCGAGATTTGAGAATATCTGATCTGACTTTGATTATATTTTGCACACTTAATCTAATGAAAACCCGATGAAGGAATAAGTAAATACCCTGAAACGTTGTGTTTCTCCTAACATAGAACTTCCTTATGTGTAGCGCCTCTAAATGCCATTCATCGAATGATGATTGTTAAATGTTGATTTATACATTTTGGGGGTTATATTTGCGTGACTTATATACCGTCAGATATTAAATAATCTATATTGTGCTATATGGAAGCAAAGGTTACTGTTACAAAACGTTCGTCGCGTATTCAGACATGCACGTGCACTCACGCACACCACTTTACGTCACTATCTGGAAGCTGATACAGGACGTGTGGTCATTGCTCTCAACAAGTTTGTCTCATCAGATCGTATTGAACTTCGATGCTCACAGTTTCAAATCAATATAAACATTCCCACGTACCATGTCATGTTTGTGGCTGTAGTCACGGGTTACACGGCAGGCTGATCAATGTTACCTAGCGTGAACATATGAGTGTTTTAACGCCGAATTAAAACGTTTTGCTGTTGTGGAGAGGGGAGAACCTGTAATGAAGGTATCGCATACTGGAAGCTAAAGATACTATACAGGCATCGCTTTGTCCCGACCAGTCGCTTACATTCTTTGTATATGTGTTGTACATTCAGTTGAGCTCCATGATTGGTGTCCAGCCCATTTTCCGAATCGAATGTATGTTTATTCCTATTAAACTGACTGACTGAGTTTAGTTTTACGCCGCTTTTAGCAATATTCCAGCAACATCACGGCGGGGGACACCAGGAATGAGCCTCACACAATGTACCCATGTGGGGATTCGAACCCGGGTCTTCGGCGTGACGAGCCAACGCTTTAACCACTAGGCTACCCCACCGCCCCTTATTCGTATTAAAGGCCATATCACCCATTGTACATATACATTAAACATCCAAAGCAATTTAACAGTAAAGCAGAGTTTACAGTTGTCCTCGTTTAGATTATCAATGATTTCGGAATTTCGAGAATTGTCCATCGTTTTTCTTTGGAATTAGTTCTTTTCTTATGTCCGTAAATATGGTGCAGTCGTACAATATATGACTCTCATCCTCTAGGGATAAACAGGTCCTACACAATATATCGATATCATTTACGGTGCTCTGTCCTCTTCTTACTTTCATCGCTCCAATGTTCATATTGCCAATTCATAATAGAATTAAGATCCGCTGAGTCGGGGTCGATTAGTTAACATTAACACACACACAACCCATGTGTGGATTAGCGCTTCCAGTAGACCTGATTCCAGTCTATCGATCTGTTAAGCGTGATATAAGAGGCTACGGACGTCTTCCACCAATCGCTTCTCCTCACTGCGGTAATTTGTAAGCTTTTAGACGGCTGTTGGTAGAGTCACTCTTGATGCTGCTATATACCGGCTGTTTGTCTCAGTACATTTCTCGGAGGGATTGACAACGTGATGTCAGTAAGCTGCTGGGAGCATTTGGATGCGAAAGAAGTAATTTCTCTCTGTGGGGCAGGGGATGGTTCTGTGAATTATACTGGATGATTTTCGCTAACGGAAACAAACGAATATGATCACCACTTTCTTCAGCTCTAATGTCAATGACAAAGATCATGAAACGGAACAGACTTTGACAAAGAACTGCAGTGGTTTTAAAACAAGTAATTAACTCCTCTTCGTCAATGTTCAAACTAATTGTTTATTGTGATATTTTTCTCCAATACAACGAAACAAACGGATGTATTTGAGCTCCATGGGACACTGAATCTGAAAGAAACTATCCTCAATTAAAGATGTCGCAATTTTTCGACGCTTCTGAAGTTCCCGAGGAAAAGGGCGAAAAGATACCCGTTTCTCTGAAATGGTACCAGTGCGGTAACCTTGACTCTTCGCAGGGTCGGCGTAATAACGCCGCTCTGATCATGGGGGTGGCGTTGATGCCAGTGATCGTCATGATCATCCAGAACCTCATCAACGTCTACAACAGCTCCAGCCACGTGAGCACAATGGGGGACCTACGGAGTCAGATTCTGTTCAGTACCGAGACAGGCAACGTCGTCCATTTCTTGCAGATAGAGAGGGGCACATCTGCTTTGTACCTTAGTAGCAACGGAGCTGCAACTGTCTTTCAAGGTAAGAGTTGCTGTATCTCTTAGTCGGTGCTTGTATGCACCGTGTGCTCACACGGATATACTCTACCTGACAGACTCTAGTCCAGATCTAACTCTCTCTGTCGCTCTCTCACAGTCTCTCTCTCCATTCTCTCGCTCCTTAATCTTTCCCCCTTTCTCTCTCCCTAATATCTCTCCTTCTGACGCTCTCTCACTCGCGCTCTCTCTCTCTCACTCACTCTCTCTCTCTCCTATCTCTCGCTCCTTAATCTCTTTCCCTATTCTCTCTCCCGAAAATCTCTCCTGACGCTCTCTCACTCGCTGTTCTTTCTGTATGTCTATTACCATTTTCTCTCCCGACTCTCTTTTCCTAATCTCAACACCCACTCATCCACCCCGTCTCTCTCCTAATCTCTCTCTCTGTCCTACTTTCCAGGCATCAGTTAAGGACAATTACAGAGTCATTATGTCTTGTATACGACCCTAAGTACGACGTCTGGGTCGGGATTAGACATTAGCACCAGATCATAAAACAGCTTCCCTGCCATGTAAAAGCACACGTTGGGGAGCATCTGCACTGAGGCAGTTTAAGTACGCTATATGAGTATCACGTCGTCTCAGAACCCAGATATATATATCACAGAATGAAGTCACTCTCGTATGTCTTGATCAAGGAAGGAACGCATCAGCCAGGTAGATGTGCATAAGGCAGACATAACATTCAGTGAAATATTTCATAGTTTTTGATTTTCTGTCCCTGTAGTGATTGTCAAGATTCAGACAAATATGACGACCTCGCTTACGTATTGTCGTACTTCTTGGTGCCTTAGGGGTGGGGGGGTGGGGGTGGGGGTGGGTGGAGTGGTTAAAGCGTTCTCTTATGAATATACATAATGTTTAAAAGGAATAATTATTCGTAATATAACTTATATACTTAAACGCGTTACCTCTGACACAATAGGGGCGGTGGGGTAGCATAGTGGTTAAACTGTTCACTCGTCACGCTGAAGACCCGGGTTCGATTCGCAACGTGAGTGCAATGTGTGAAGCCCATTTCTGGTGTCTCCCGGCGTGATGTTGCTGGAATATTGCTAAAAGCGGCGTAAAACCATGATCACTCACTCACTCACTCAGTGCTCGGTTGGTAGAGCCGTCAAAGAAGCCGTTATCCATGCCTCAGTAAACGCCGTTGTCGGATGAAGGAGCGTTGGAAACAGATATCGTGTTGATCATTATCAATGGCCTGTCAATAAAATACCCATGATCGTTAGTTTAACAAAAGTAGTAAAGGTCCAAGTCCTACATCATCTCAGAATTCCTTTCAACTGAAGTAAGTATGCATTGATCTATTGTGTAACTGTTAGTTGGCACAAATTCCGTTACTGAAGAGCCTGAAGGTACTTGGTGTTGATTAATGCACAGAGAAGTGAAACTGCAATTTGAATTCACTTTGATCCTGTTAACATTGATAATCATGGAGCTGTCGTTGACACATTGTCATAATTAACAGAATGAAATATACTGGTCAAAAAATGAAACGCATAGCTAAAATCTGTTTTTCAAAGTAGAATGTTTTTAAGATGAAGGCTTGAAATCAATATAAATGTCATTGCTAACTGTGAATATAGCCCTTACAATAATTTATTGCACACGAAAACAACATTTGGTGAATTGTCGCCAAAATACAGCACCTTGAATTAAAACTGGGAGAAATCGCATGGAGAAAATTACGAGTGCTAAAGCTTCATACCGGCGGGTATGAACATCTGGCAGTCCCGTTGCGAATCACTCTAAGATGTTCCGTATATGCGACCCTTAAGATGCCAAGACTGAATGAAGACTGCAGAAACAGCCATTTGGCGTCTGGAAGCTGGAGAATGTCAGTCAACAGTAGCCAGGAACTTCAACGTGAGGCAGAGCACTATCTCCCGTCTGTGGCAGCGCTACAGACTCCACAACTCTACAAGAGATCGACCGAGAACTGCGGCGCAGGACCGCTTCATCCGGGTGTTGCATCTTCGCAACCGGACAGTCAGTGCAGCATACACAGCCAACAATGTTCCTGGACTTCACAGAGTATCAGCGCAAACCATCAGAAATCGCCTACGACAGCATGGGATACGACCAATGCGATCATATGCAGCACCTGTTCTGCCGCATCATTATCGTCGTGCACGTCTGCAATGGAGCAGAAACGTTCGATCATGGACCCTAGTGCACAGGATGATGATCTGGTTTAGTGATGAGTCGCGGTTCTTGCTGTATCGCTATGATGGAAGGATGCGTATATACAGACGGAGAAATGAACGCTACACTCGATGCTGTATTCGTAAAAACGATAGATACGGTGGTGTCACTGTCATGATGTGGGCAAGCATATCCTTCGATGGTAGGACAGATCTGGTGATCGTGCAGGGAAACTTAACTCCAGTACGCTGCCGTGATGAAATCCTCCAACGCCACCTTATTCCCGCCAATGACGTCAGAAGAGAGATTTTCCAGATAACGCCAGAGCGCATACTGCACGTGTTACCATGGATTCTCTTGCCAACAACAATGTTACTGTGCTGCCATGACCATCCAAATCGCCGGATCTCAACCCCATTGAACATTTGTGAGACAGACGTGTACGACCAGAACCAAAGACGCTTCATCAGCTGAGCCATGCATTGCAGGATAAGTGGAGAAGGATTCCATAACGAAAGATTCGACGACTCTTTCAGTCCATGCCCAGACGGTGCAGAGCAGTTATCGATGCTTGAGGTGGTCACACCGGGTACTGACTTTGTCAAAGTGCCGTCACAGACACAGATGTCCCCTAGAGCATTAAATGGATGTATGTAGTGAAGGAAACATGTGCCTAACCCTGTGTAAAATTTGGTTGTTATTTATTGTGTAATCCGATTTTATAAAACATGTAAAGGAAAACTGATATTTTGGTTATGCGTCTTTTTGCCCAGTGTATTACATTTACTGGTTAGAACCAAAACCATAATTTTCAAGCCAAATACCACGCTATTTAACTAGTGGAATGATCTATATACATGAACAAATATTTAATTCCTCTACCAAACATTTGTTTCTTCTTTCTGTCGTGTCTGTCTTTCTATCTCATTAATAAGCTTCCTTACAGACTTGTTACACAAATTGATTTCGGTTCGATTAATCGGTAAAGTATCGCGGTTGTAGCCTAAGCGTTTAATAAATAAACTATTCATTGATGATTAACTAATATTCCCTTTATCTCATCTCACGGCGTCGTTGAAATTGATATTGGTAATTACCAATTACATCCATCTGTGAAAAATCCCGATTTCGCATGCTTAATAAATACAATATCCTTTGTTCCTTAAAAACAAATTATTTGATATTAAGATAATGTTTCACAGTACTGTTGATGTGTGGATATCTTGCTGACTGTATAATGATTAGAAAAATACACTGGACATTGATCTTCAGGTCCTTCTGATGGTGTGATTGTCCATCCAATAACTGGTTCAGCATGCGTAACGAGAGACTCTCTGTCATCAGAGACCCGAGTCTCTGATGGAATAATGAACTCAAAAGTACTCTTCACCTTCATGGGTTTACTATTCGGGTTGTCAGTGCTAATCAAATAACAGGCATTGATATATAGATTAATGTTGAGAAACGAAACATGTATCAATGTTTATCCAGTCCTATTTGCGTTGGATACACGGTTAGCAATAGGTGAGGCGAGGTGAAATTGGGTTTTACATCGTGCTTGAGAATATTTCGCTCGTATGACGACGTGCATGCGTGTGTATGTGTATGTGCGGCTGCTTGTACTAGCCCAGACTTAAGCTGGTTTTATAGTGCTAGCCCACTGAGATACCATGCTGCAGTAAAGCATGAATACCCCACTCAGACACATTATACTGACTCCGAGCCGACCAGTCCTTGTTTTACCCATTAATGCCGAGCGCCAGGCAGGTACCAACAAGTACCATATTTTAACGTCTTTTGGTATGACGCGTTCGAGGATTGAACCCGCGACCTTCCGCTCTCCGGGCGGACGCTCTAACCACTACACCACGGAGGCGGTCGGTAAGCTATAAGTACAATATCAATACTCATAATGGTATTAATGTAACGGCATTATTAATATCTCTGCCATTAAACTGTTACCATTCCAAGCGTCACATCATAATTACATTTCGACTTTTATTAGGCTTGCAGATCCGTATAATGAATTGCTGTTGCTGTCATTTAATGAGTGTTGACAAGGTTGTGTGTTGGTTACAATGAAACCTCGTCAGTCCAAATCCTGTTAAACTGGAAACCCCTTAATAGTGAGTGAGTTTAGTTTTACGCCGCGTTTGGCAATATTGTATTCATGTGGGGAATTTAACCCGGGCCTTCCGCGTGACGAGCGAACGCTTTAACCACTAGGCTACCCCACCGCCCCGGAAACCCCTTAATATCAACTATTATATTATGATTTTATTTAAACATATTTATTCAAGAGAATGGATTGGGTACAAGTTATGCCAACTTAGTGAAACCCTCTCCTATTTACAGTGCTTCACATGCAAAAGTGAAACAAACTATATGTACAGGGATAGAAAGATATATACAAAATGATATATACAATACAATGAATACATGAATTATTTAGATCATACACATTATATCTGATCACTGAACCTTTTGGAATTTGATATATATTTTGAACTTCTTTAAAATGTGAATATTGTCACTATACGGAAGATCTGCACTGCCTTTTAATAGTACGTCTAGGTTTGTTGGTGCTTTCATGTTACAAATTCTGCTAATATTTTGAAACATTTCCTGTCTGATAACAGAATACAAAGAACATTCCATAAAATAATGTTGAGAATTTTCACATTTTACAATTACATTCGGGGTTCTATGAGACCGATCCTATATAGATCACCATTTAATCTACTATTTGAATATCTTAGCTGGGTATGAATTACATTGAGTTTTCTATTACCAAATGAGAAATATCCTGGTGCTTTTGACTTACGCGAGCTTATA